GAAATGCATCTGAATTCGTTAGAAATTGATTACTAAACTTATCCCCATGTAAAAAATCAGTGGTTAGCAAAGTATAAGGACATATTTATTACTACTTTTACAATAAAGTAATGCTTTTGGCAATGTTACAACAAATATGTATGATTTATGTTACATTATTAAGATTATTTGTGGTTTTTAGTGTTTTATAACAAATCATTAATATACCTTTATTATTTTGTTTAAGGCCGAGAATGTATATTGAAAATTCAAAAGGCACCTTGGATCATTTCAAGAGTATTTTGAATCACCATGAAAAACAATCAATGTACTTGTTGAGCTCCAATATACATATATTAAAGCTTTACTTGAATGAAGTCTTATTATTGTCGGGCATAATTCAAGCTTTCAGTGCTTAAAGAGTTACAAGGTTTGGTATCTATAAGCATACTGAATATGATATTAATGAAAGTTAAGCGAGCTAATCATGTTGAGATTGATGCAAATGCTTGTGGTTGTATGATCAGAAGCATGCATGGATTAACTTGTGCTCATAAAGTTATAGAATATATAAAGGTGGAAAGTCCAATTTCTTTATCTGAAGTGCATTTGCATTGAAAGAAGGTGGATTTAATAAAGAGCCAAGATAATGAAAATCTAAAAAGTTGACCATTTAGTCTAACGTTGATCGAATTATAAAACACTTAAATGAATGTGATGAGTTCAGTAAGTTAACCATGAAAAGAAAGCTACAAGAACTTGGTGATTCGTCCACAACTACCTTGATGCCACCATTAAAGATGACGAAGCTAAAAGATTGCATAGCTATGAAAAATAGATACCTCTACATTACACGACCCGTCACATTTCGAGGTTGTGTTATCAGCTCAGGATAATACATCACCACTAATCACTACAAATTCAGTGAAATTGATGACACAAATCACTAAACTTTTTGTTCACTGCCCCCACGATAAATGAAAAATATGATATTTGGATAGTTTGCGAATGGGAGTTACATCTATATATATATAGAGCATTGTTGATGTTAAGGTAGATAGATATTGTGTTTTTTGTTCTATTACTAGGTTGCTTAGATTAAGATTAAATGGGTGTGTACAAGTGCAACAAGATTTAATTAAAGTGTTTAATTGATTTTGAGGTGATTATGTGACTTTGTATGAATCCATAGAGCGTGTTAAGGAATTATTACAAACCTTATCATATTTTGACACTTCTGCATCATACAATAAATAGATGACCTTATTTGATATGAGTCATTTGATTGTCTCTTGATATGATGTTGTGATAGTTCATATCAGTTTGAGACATAGCTTGACATATCTCCTTATTAGATTTGTACCACTTATACCATTAGAGCATAAAGTAATTAAGATTGGATTTGTTAATGATTGTCATTTTGTGCAAGTATTATTAATTAGTGTTGTCATTTACTATTTATATTTATCGTTCCTATTTTATGTAGCTGTTAATGACATTATATAAATAAAGTTCCTACTTTATAGATGTGTTAGTAAAGCCATTCTCACTAATACCTCATATTACATACAACTGACGTAGGATTCGATATAATTATATTCTAGAGTGGGAGATTTCATATATACCTATCATTGAAAATTTCAAGTTATTATTTAGTATAAATTCTAATATGGCCATTTAAGAAACAATACACATTGATTAATTATTTTTTGTAGTAATTGTTAACAGTTTGTATTAATGTTTACGATTTATATATTTGTTTAAGCTTTATATGTTGAACAAGTTATCTAATGGGATATGTCCTATTGAACAGGTAATTTAATGGATATTTTGTAAATATAAACTAAATATAAACATACTTAACTAAATATAAAATTAGTATCTACATTAAGTATTAGTATATAATAATTAATATATCAATCCCTATCACTCGACCTTTTAACTTGAGGATATACACATGGTGGACAAGTGGACTTAGCTATCTGTGTGGAACTCTTGGCAGGGTTGATATTGTCATTTTCGTAAAAGGATGGAGTCGGGCAAAGATGATGTTGTGGTCACTACTAGTGGTGAGGACGGTCGTGGCATGAGCTGGCTAGCAGGTGTTGATGTTGATGGAATTGGGGATAGAACGGGCAAAAATAGGCTTAGAGGTGCTAGTGTCGATGAGATTGGGGATGCAGCGGACATGAGTGGCTTGGCCAGTCTTGGTGGTTTGAATGCATGAAATAATGGTACATGAGTCTAATGCCAATCTAGATTGACTGCTTCTACTTTGTAGTAGATGACTCGGACAATAAATGATGTACTTTGATAATTGCATCTCTTGATACGTCAATACTTTGATCAAATCCACTAGACAATACATACTCAATGAAAGATAAAATGGCTGAGCTCCATTACAAAATATTAATAAGGTTATTAGTATTGATGTCATATAATTAAAATTAACAAAATAGTAAAAAAACCATAAAATTATATAATTTATAATTTACTAAATCACTGATGGTGTAATATCTACTGGTTGAGCTTGGAATCTAGATTGATGTTCTGAATTTTGAATTTGACAATGTGAAATTACTACAAACCAAGCATTGTAATAAGATAAACACTCTTTCGATCTCTAACATCTATGGCCTCGATGCTCAATTGGGTAATGTGTATATCCCATCTATCCCAATATTGGTGTAGGAATTGATATGCAACATCAAACTAGTTGTATATACTCTTCGATTAGTATAGGACGGGATCAATAGGGTTGGGAGAATAGTCTGTCCAATCGGGTTGGAAGAATAGTTTGTACAAATCCAAACAATGTCTTTATGATTATCCCACACTTGATGCATCCAGTAAAAAAAATAATGTCGTGTAATGGATGTGCATCCTGTTGATCGACATATGATTCTTAACACACATAAGATACTTTTAACCCATCTAAACGTTCCCGTAAGATTGCAATGTATCAGTATAAGTATGAGCCTTCCATTGTTCAACACGCAGTAGATCATTTGAAGATGTCAAAATGGCCATTAAATTCAATGATGGAAAGTACTTGTAAATCTATACATGAAATACATAAATAATATTTAATTAGATAATCATATATATGAGTAATAATAAATAAATTAAATATTAATAATATATATTTCACTAATTACAAATACATACCTGAAAAAGTGTTAGATATCTAATGATCTGATACACGTTTGCCTATTCATAATGCCAAGTTGCCTATACAAATAAGACAAGCTGTCCCCTAAACAAATCTACTTATGATGGTGAGGTCAGTCAGTAAGAGTATGTACACTACCAAAACTCTTGTAATGGTCTTGTTAACGACTAGTGTACACTTTAGCAAATGAAGTATAAAAGCTTAGGATGCATAAACAACCACCTTATCATTTGATGCATCTGTGACATGCCTAAGGTATCCTATAACCACTAGAGTCAAACAATAAATCCTTTAGCTTGTGAAGTCTTTGCTCTAGCCTCGTATGTAAAAATTCCAAGTAATCTCACTAGTATTGTATTCGTCTCATTGATTGTCAAAAAATTCATTGAAACCATGGTCCTAATGATCAATATGTATAGAAAGATTAACACATCATCCAACTTGATAGTCATCTCTTTGAACGGCATATGAAAGGTGTTCATCTCCGGTTGCCACCTCTTAACAAAAACTAATACTAACATGTTATTGATGGTATGATAGGTGTAGTCGATGAGTGACAACAACCCCGACTAGACAACATTGGCTCGAATAAGCATGTGTGCATTGTTTAGATGCCATTGCTATAACTTCAGTTCATGGTTAATCAATTTCAATGTATCTCGCTCCCGTAACAATAACAACAATAATAATAAAATAAGATCAACAATAACATCACCGATATCAAGAACATAAACAATAACATTAATAACAATAATCAATTAAGGCACATTAAAGACATAAATTAACATGATTCGTATTATATGATTTAAGTGATTACCTAGTCATTCCAAATTTATAATGCAACATGAGATTCGAAACTCAAAAAAATCGATGTATCAACTGGATTTCCAAAAAATGATTCCACCTGCTTTTGTGTGGTAAGTTACGGCAGCCTCCCTATAAAGCGTGGAAGGCTTAACTTAAAGGATGTCATCTATTGTATGATCCTTTGACTCATCATTCCTCACTCAACGTCTTTTTTTAGAGGCAATTGGACATTTATGACTCAGATTAAGATCAGCTCTAGTACCTCTCTCTCTACTAAGAATATATTTCACCTCATGTATGAGCTATATCTGTAATAAAAAATAACAACTCATTAAGCTTATATAATATATTTAATAAACCTTAAACTTGAAAGAAAAATCATTACTGATGGTCCAATATCAATTACTACTATTATTGATTAACTTGAATGACAAAACATCAAAGTTAAAACTTGAAATAAATTGTTTTGAACTAAAAGAAAATTTTTGTCAATAATTTTTTAAATGAAAAATGACTTGGGATCAAAACAAACTTTTTTCCTCGTTAAAACATGTAAGCTCTCGAGTTTGAACATGATTGATCCTTTTTGTGTAGGGGGTTGATCCTCCTTATACAAACTTTTTTTGAAAATCGATTACTAAGAGCTTTAAAGGTTTTTTGAAAATGCATTTTTAAGATCTTTTTGAGTTTATTAGAAATAGATTACCGAGAAGCTTTTATGGCTCTCAAAAATTTATTTTTGAGAAACCTTTAAAGCTTTAAAAAATGGATTGTTAAGATCCTTTTAGGCTTTTTTTTTAAAAATCAAATTAAATAAAATAAATTAAAAAATCTTACTTGTAATTAGTGGAAGACTTAAAAATGAACGTGATTTTGGGGTTAATTCGATAGATTTAAGATTAATTTGAGTTTGAGATTGAAGAGAGAAGAAAAGGGAATAAAGGGATTACATTGAGGGTATAAAGGGAAAGCGAATGGTTTCGGGATTTACTATATTTCGTAAAAGAAGAATTTTAATTTTGAATTGAGGAGTATTTAGTAATAGAGTGATAAAGAGTAGTATTTGAGGTGTATTTAAAATTCCTCTCCTAGAAACCTGCCCCCGATTCTCAGTAAGCGGGAAAGGGCTCCTTTAAAACTCCCAAAAAACCATCCAAAGCCCTCCCACGTTCCAATGTCGGGCACAATCAAGGTTCTGAACGTGGCGGAGAAGCCATCGGTGGCGAAGTCGGTGTCTGCCATCCTGTCAAGGAACCAAGGCCTGCGTGTGCGCGATGGCCGCTCCCGCTTCAACAAGATATTCGAGTTCAATTACTCGATTCGTGGCCAACCCTGCCACATGCTCTTCACCTCTGTCACTGGCCACTTAATGGAGCTCGAATTCGAAGATCGCTTCCGCAAGTGGCACTCCTGTGACCCCGCGGACCTCTACCACGCCCCCGTCCGTAAATTCGTCCCTGAGGTCTCCCCCTTTCTTCCATCTCTGGTTTTTTCCTCATAATTTACTCTTTATCTTTTCGAAGAGATGCTAAAAAAATGTAAATTGTAAATAACAAAATCACATTCCAACAAAATTGATCAAATATTTAAAATGCATCGCATACTTCAAAATGATTGATATATGTGAAAAGTAAAATCATGGGTTGTGTTATTCACAGAAGTTAAAGTTTTAATTTTAACTTTTCAAAATTATTATGTCACGAACATGTTGAAGTGGAAATCTAGTTTCTCCTTAAAGAAAGGGACAACGAAAGAGTTCAACAATGAAAATCTGACTCCCGCCAACCCTCCAGTTATCAAGGTAATAAAGTGTAAAAATAGAGTCTGGTAATAGTGAAATTGAGGTCGACAAGCTTATCATGTATATATATATGTGTGTGTGTGTGTGTATAATAAATGCACCTTTTGCTTTTAGATGGGAACAAAAGAAACAATTAGCAAAACTAACAAGCAAATAGAGTGTAAATGATTTTACTGGATCTTTTCTTTGCGTTTGAGAATTTCCATAATTTCTAGTGCATATGGTGCTAAATTATGTTTATATGCTGAATTTCACTTTTATTGGACTTTTGATGATTTAGGATAAGGTGGGTATTAAGAGGACGTTGGAGGAGGAAGCTAGGAGGTGCCAGTGGTTGGTTCTATGGCTTGATTGTGACAGAGAAGGAGAAAACATTACATTTGAGGTTATTGACGTTTGCAGAGCAGTGAATCCTCATCTTACAATACGAAGGGCTCGATTCTCTGCATTAATTGAGAGGTTCTTAAAGCCTAACGTTTGTTCTTTTTCTTTAATTGTCTTTTTTTGGCTTAGATTTAATGTAGTCTGGTGTTGGAAATGCTAGGGAAATCCATCATGCCATGCAGAATCTTGTTGATCCAAATCCATGGTTTTCTGATGCTGTAGATGCTAGGCAGGTAAGTAACTTCCCTTATCATGTGTGAAATGCTCAAATTCTTAACTGATTGATATAAATTTGATTTTACAAGTTTCCGCATAATTGCTTACTATGAAGAAAAGACTTTTTATGGCTTATTCATGCATTTCCTAAATTTTGTTTAGAAATATTTGTTAAGCACTATTATCTCATATTAGTAATATTTGGGTTTGCTATGGTCTTCTGTTTAATTTAAGCCACTCTGCCAATTGTCAATTGGTTTTATGTTGGATGTTTAACATGAAACCAAGTTGTTTGTTTCCCATGTGGTTGAGTTATATGTTTTTACATTACCTCATATTAGTTGTTTACATTGTAGTCCTGTTGTTTCTGTTTTTAAGTTGGGCCTAAAAGTGATGGGGAGTGCTGAGTAGTGTTGTTCTACATCAGTTAAGTTTGGGGAGTATTCAAGTTAGGTCTCCATTTTTTGCCAATTGGTTTTAGGATGAATGCTTAAGAACATGCTCTTTTCGTCATACTTCTGTCCTTGTTATTATTTATCCATCTGATATCTATAGAGATCAAAATTAACATTTATAAATTTATTAGGAAATAGATCTACGGATTGGTGCTTCCTTCACCAGATTTCAGACTATGCTGTTGAGAGATAAATTTGTTATTGATTCTGCTACAGATGACAGAAATCTTGTTCTAAGTTATGGTCCTTGTCAGGTATGTTGAGAATTGGCAACATCTCTGATTTATGCTTATTAATAGATGTCTTATATCTTTTACCAATGCAGTTCCCTACACTCGGCTTTGTTGTGGAACGATATTGGGAAGTACAGTCGCATGAGCCTGAAGAATTTTGGACAATCAACTGTTCTCACAGATCGGATGAAGGTGTTGCTACCTTCAATTGGATGTAAGCTGGCAAGCTTTCTGCAGTTGTTTGAGTTATCATATATTCTTTTATAAGTTTAATTTCTTTCTCTTAGTTCAAGTGGTCATAAGGATAGAGTTAATAACATTATGAATTTGCAGGCGTGGACACCTTTTTGATCACACTTGTGCAGTTATAGTTTATGAAATGTGTGTTCAGGAGCCAACTGCAACTGTGAGTTGTGCTAAACCAAGTATTTTTGAACAATTCCAACTTTTGATCATAGAAACAACTCTTACTGAATAATCATAGTTTTTGTTAATACTTGTCTTATAGGTAACAAAAGTTCGAAACCAGGAAAAACTTAAATATCCTCCATATCCTTTGAGTACCATTGAGCTTGAAAAGCGTGCTTCGCGGTATTTCCGTATGAGTTCTGAACACACAATGAAGGTGAGCAGCTGGAAGTGGACATGCTTTAATCTTGGTTGTACCAATGCCTTTGTGCATCAACTAGAATTGAGAGGTTAATTTGAAAGGCTTAACTAGAAAGATTATTCCCTATTCTGCATGCTTGTATATATTTTGATGTTGAATAAAGAAAAAGGAAAAATAATGAAAATTGAGACTTTTAGCATTGACCTTGTCCTTTAGTTGCTCTGATGTAGAGACCAATCTATGGAATTTTGAGCCCAACATTTTAAACAAATATATTGAAGCATGTGAGCATATTGCGTGCTATGTGTTTTACTTGGTAAGTGAACCCTGCCAAATCTGTCCCTAGTTTTGGAATACATTGTTCACTGAATGAGTCTCTTGTTCCTCTATCTTTTTAACTCAAAATATTTCTTTTTTATGCACCTTTTCTTTACATCTTTTAAATAAAAAGTGGCCTCTTTATGGGGCAGTGCAATTTTGATTTGAAGAATGAATTACCTGATATGGCTCTGCTTGTTTACCTATTTTTAAGGTTTCATGATATGTCCCTTGGGGATGAGATAATGATAATGCGAAATGTATGATTAGAATTCAGGCTTGACTCTCTGTGTATGTGTGTGTTTTTCTAAAAGATAGAGCTTGTCTATGTTGCAACTCATTTCTGCTTCACTTTTTTTTTTTCCTCACAAGAAAATAAAATATTAATGAAATGGACTGCTTAGCTCATGTTTCTGGATAGATGGACTTACTGTTGCTTATACAGATGATCCGTAGCATTTTGCTCATTGTCATGTACTCTTTATTTTTCCCACTAATCTACTTTTTTGAATTTATGACATAATGTCCAATTAGAGAGGGAGAAAAATGGGGAAAGTGGGAGAAAAGAATTGGGGGCAAAATTTAGGCAGCAAGCAAAATTTCTTTCTTTCTTTTTTTATTTTTTATTTTTTTTTTGATCTATGCCTAACATATCCTTTACTTAATTCTAATATTAATTATTATTATCTCAAATTATGATGAATACTACCCTTGAAAACTGTCCTTGAGTTCCTTAAATTAATGGTAGAGATAATCATGTGTTGGTTATTTAACAAGGCTCTCGAGCTGAAATTCACTCCTTTACTTTCAATTTTATTGTTTGTAGGTGGCAGAAGACCTATACCAAGCTGGTTTTGTTAGTTATCCTCGTACAGAGACTGACTGCTTTTCAAGCAGGACTGATTTGCATGTTGGTAACTGTTTCCTTTTGACAAGATAATTCTTGTCTCAACTTGTTAATAATTTATACGTAGACAAAAGGCATTCTTTTAGTTAGTCTCTCAATCAACTTTAACAGTTAAACTTTTTAATACAGTTAGGTCTCTTTTTCAAATTGGGTTATTTGTATTTTTTTCTCCCTTTTCAAGTGGATTTACACGTTAAAATTTAGTACTGTCTCCTTTCTTCTAAAAGAGAACTATGATCTTTCCAAAGTTTATCTCTCACACACCTTGGCATATATACTTAAATCACTTCTATAATTTGGGACTCTTGAATGCTAGAAATAGGAAGAGATATTGAATAAGTTTATGATTTATCAATCTCTTTAGGTGGAAATAACTAATAATTAAGTGAAGAACTTGTAATAATTAATTGAGAATTATGAAAAAAATTCTCTGGAGAGGGCATCTGTCAAGTGAGGTGGATATACAGGAATAGACATGCAATATTGTAAATGTGGGCATCTGTCAAGTGAGGTGGATATACAGGAATAGACATGCAATATTGTAAATGTTTATGTAACAGGAGGAAAATTTAGCTAGCTTCTGCTGCTTCCCTTTAATGTATCAAGAGCAGAATCTCAAATTGAGGGTAATGGTTGTAAAGTTTAAGCTTTTTATCACTACTTTTGATGTGTGATGACTGGAAATTTATAAGATTTGAAGCATCATTAGGTTCAATTCGAACAGAAATTTATAGTATTTTTCTGTTGATTGCATCTTCATTCTTTACAAGGATTGTCTCAATGATATTTGTCTTTTCAACTAAAATAGAGAGAAAATAGCAGTTAAGGCTATGTCCTATTCTTTTCTGGACATATTTATTTATTCTGTTTTACATCAAGCATACTTTGAAAGTTATCAGGAATGAAGCTTCCCTTCCTTGTACTTTTAAGTAAGTCAGTTTCTTATTTGTCTTCTTGCTAGTTTAAAGCTTATTTTATGGAACTTAAATCTCTTGGTGATGCCTTGCTGGATTTTGGACTTGTTTCAGTTTAATCTTTCTCCAATATTGATTTTTTTTTTTCTGGATTGAATGCCATGTTAGGTTTACAGTTTCTTCTTATCTAGTTACTAAACTTCTAAATTTTAAACCAAGATAACTCTTGACTTCTACATTCCCAGTAGCAGTTTGGTGTCTAGTTAACATTCAACTTTTGTGAAGAAGGCAGTGGATTTACAAATTGGGATCACCCTAATATATCATTGTGTGATGATGCTTGCTCTTCTACAAAAATCTATAAAAAAATAGTTTCTTTTTTTTTTTTCATATTTCTATTTCATATTAAATGCTAAATTTTTATGTTATTGCTTTTTTGCTTTCTTAAAATAATGTATCTTCAGTAGATATAACATTTGTTTTTGATCCCTTGTCATTGATTACCTGTAGAAGTTGCTTGCATTTGATGAAATTATTACTCACTCAAGGTTTTATTTGACATAGGCAATTGTGCAAGAACAGAAGGAGCATCCTGAATGGGGTTCTTATGCCCAGAGATTGTTAGACCCTGGGACAGGACTCTGGAGAAACCCTGGCAGTGGTGGACATGATGACAAGGCTCATCCACCCATTCACCCGACAAAATTTTCTACGGGGGAACGTGGTTGGAGTCAAGACCATCATGTAAGCAAGTGTATTAGAGCTAATAATAGTTACTGTTTAATCGGTTTTTTGAAAATTTAATTCCTTTTTCCTTTGCATCACAGAAATTATATGAACTGGTTGTTCGCCATTTCTTGGCTTGTGTTTCACAACCAGCTGTAGGGGCTGAAACCACAGTTGAAATTGATATTGCAGGTGAATTATTTTCCGCATCGGGAAGAATAATATTAGAGGCAAGTATTTTATAGCAGTCTAAAAAATTTCTTTCTATTTTATCTTGAACTTTTCTCATGAATTAAGAAGCATTGGAGTGTTTAACATTTATTTATTTATTTTTAAAAATTTGGTAGCTAAGTGTTGTATCACTGAGTGCAAGATTTGTAATGTTTGCAATGATTACAAATTTAGGATATATATATTTTTTAATTTTATTTTAAACAGTTAGGCTTCTGGTGTTTCCTTTTATGTTCATTAAGGGTATTTCAATGGTCCAAGAAATGTCAATCTTGTTTGAGTTGCAAATAGCTAAAGGAAACTTGTAATTGGAATGTTGTTTTTGATTTTCTGTATGATGTCAAGTTGCTATTTTGAACATTAAGGTTGGACAAGATTGTGGTAAAATCTTGCTTTCACTGCATTAAAATAGAATTTCAGAAACCATGTTGGTAGCAAATCAGAAACAGCTTCTCTTGAAATATAGATAAGACATTACAAACTTTTATTAATCTCTGATCAGCCAAATGTCAATCCTGTTTGAACCGCAAATGGCCAGAGGAAACTTGTGACTGGAAAGTGGTTTTTGATTTTCTGTATGATGTCAAGTTGCCATTTTGAATATTAGGGTTGGACAAGATTGTGGTAAAATCTTACTTCCTGTCACTCCATTAAAATAAAATTTCAGAAACTATGTCGGTAGCAAATAAAAAACAGCTTCTCTTGGAAATTGGAATAGATAAGACATTAAAAGCTTTTATTAATTTCTGATCAGTCAACAATGCACTGCCCTCATTAGCCTGTCTTGCTTGAATTGATTTTCTTTGAGATGTAATACAAGATTGAAGCTGCTTCATTGCTATTACATGAATGACTTGTGGTTGGCTTGCTATCTTTTGGCTATAAATTGTGTTATAGCTCTTCTAAATCTCCTTGATCTCTTTAGATTTGTTTCTACTATCTTGACTTTTGACTAAGTTGCTTTTCTATTTTGACCAGAGAAATTACTTAGATGTTTACCGATATGAATCATGGGGAGGTTCAATGATTCCAACCTACACTGTTGGACAGCAGGTTTTACATTGTTTCTGTGTAGTTCATTTCAAGCTTTTCAATTGGAAGTTAATTGTTTGATAAAAAAATTGAAGTTTGATTGTTGTTTTTTGTGTTCCTGTATATTGATGTGCTCTGCTTCCATGCTGATTTGCCATGTTACTTTTCATTCTCAAGTTGCTATATTTGCCACCTATTTGATAGCATGTCAGCCTAATCGGGGAATATTACTGGTAAAAAGGATTAAATTATTGGCTTAGAAGTTTGGACAATGCAGACTTTGACAATAAAGCTACTAAATCCTGCCTTTGGTACATAGAGATTTTTTTACATAGATTTGGTCTCTGAGTATCCAAAAGAATCCAAATATCAGTCTTAAAAGACTATAATTTATTACGAATTAGGAGTTAGCGAAAGGGGAAAATATGAAATAAAAGGATGTTTTTTAGGCCTATTGTGTTGATGGAATAACTTTTGAGTGGAAGAGGGAGAGGGCTTGTAGGTAAAGTTTTCTATTTCCAAGACAAAATGATCATGTTGGGTTTGAATGTTTTGACATCTGAGTAGTTCTTTATTTTTTCACTTATTTCTTATTGATGATTAAGATAAAAGTGCAACTCTTAGATTTTGACTTCTCTGAATTACGATATAAATTTGATGTCAAAATAGACTTAAGCATCTACATCTCTCTGTTGAATTTTTGAGGCTAGAATTTGTATTTATCCTTCAGTTCTTTGTTATGTTACAGTTCGTCCCAACATCATTGACTCTAGACATGGGAGTCACTAGACCACCACCCCTTCTGAGTGAAGCTGATTTACTAAGTTGTATGGACAAGGTGAGAAGTGCCATGTGCTCTGATCTGACTTATTTGATTATGGTTCCAATGGTTTATTTTGTTTTATTTTTAACTTTTTGCACTCTTTCCTTCTGCAATGCAAGGCGGGAATTGGTACAGATGCAACAATGCATGATCACATTAAAAAGCTGCTAGATCGATTTTATGCAACAAAGGACTCAAACACTCGTTTCTCGCCTACCAATCTTGTAATCTTTTTTTTTTACCTTCTCTTTTCTCACTCTATCTTTTTATCATATATTATTTTTCTTTCGAATGTTCTATGATATTATTTGTTTATGAGCCAAGGGACAAGTTGGATATTCAGTGTGAGAGTACAATTAAAGATTTTTGAATTTGTGAGAATCGAAGTTTAGAATAACTCTTTCCTTTAGATCCAGTGGACACAGTGGCATCTAGAACAAAAAACATAGTAATTTTTTTAAAAAATATTTTTTCACATATATTATCATTAGAAAATTTCAAAAAATTATTATTATATATGTATGTAGTTGTATATGTTTGTTTGCCTATGAATGTGTACATAAATGCATGTTTATAATGTCATGCACTAAAATGAAGAGAATTTTCTATTAGAATTATCAATATTCTTTTTCATAAAAAACACAGTATTTATATTTTATTTTTGAATAGTTTTGAAGTAAATAATGATATTGAACAAATAAAATTGATCCAACTAAACAAACTCAATTTTTAGGGGTCTCAAATTTGGTAATCACATGACAAAAATTTTGTAAATCTTTGATATAGTTTAGATTAAAAGCAAGGGAAAATTCTTTTACAAATTTAAATAAGGATTAATATAATATATTTTTACACAATAAAATCAATGTAAAGGATGCACTAAAAATAAAGAGTTTTAATGAAAAAAACTTTAGTCACCACATGGGTATACTCAGGTGTTTGGGTGAATGAAGGTTTTGTACTTTGAGTTTATTTTTGATGCACATTTTGTGCTTTGAAAAGAAAATCACTTGTAGAGCATGATAATATATATATATTTATTTATATAGAACATGATAAATAACTTTCTCTAAGTTGTTTCTTTAAAATATTTGATTTTGTAGTGGTTCACATATGGTTATAAAGAAAGAATTCAGGTGGCTAATACCATATCATCATACCTTGTCATTTAATTTGCATTGTTAGAAAACATAAACTTAGCTAATGGAGTGATAAGATTTTGTTCACTAGAAATTAAGTCATAATACTTTACTATTTCAACTTCGTTAGCATGATTGATTTTTTCTTACTGTTTGCATAACAATCTTGTCATTTTAATATTACAATTGAAATATTGGTGAGGGCACAGTTTTAGGTAATATATCAAATTGGAAACTCAAATAGGGGTTGGGAAGCAACATTATTTTGAAGGAATTGTCCAAATTGCCTATATATGTATATATGTATTTTTAACTTAGCTGTCTCATAGTGGATGGAAGGATTCCTTGATAACTAGGCAGGTGTATGCTAAATATTTGAAAATTGATCCCTTGTCATAGTCTAATGGACATTTTTAGGAAGGTGTGGTTTATAGAGTTTCTATATGTTGAAACTAAATTATAGACACTCAAAGTCCTTGGAATGAGAAGTTTTGCACCTTAAATGATAGTTGTGTTTCCAGAATTTAGAGATTCCAAGTTTTAAACTATCTCTAGGCAAAGTTATGGGTTGAGCTATGCTGAAAAAATTCCAAGTTTTAAACTATCTCTGGATCTACACTTGAACTGCCTATATTGACCAATTGACTATTGCCTTGCTTAACTCATTATTGATACTTTCTGAAAGTGGTCTTCTCTAACCAAAAAAGAAGAACAAAGTTTACATTTTTAGCCGCAAGACAATAGGAGTGACAGCATCAATGGGTGATCTTAAGTATGATCAGTGAGTAGCAAGCTTACTTAATTGTCATACAACAAAAATGTAGTAAATCTAATCTGTGCTATGGATTATCATTGCGTTAATGCGATCTAACTTTAGTGTGCTGGTAGGAAGCCCCCTTGCAAAAGGAGCTTTATTACTGTGGTCAATATTTTGTGTAAGAGAAGGCTTAGATTTGGGTTTATTGTTTATAGTTATCTTGAGGGTTTTATTATTTGTACTTTCACCCTTTTATCTTGATTATATGGTTGACCAAGTTGTTAAACAATTTTGTTCTTGTGCTTTTGATTGTAGAGTTCTTCAGAAAAATATTTCATTTTTATCATAATTGTTATTTCCGTTTATACTAGCAAACTAAGTGAACCTTATCATGTATAAATGGATAACCACTGGATGCAATGAAACCATAATTTGGTATTTTCTCTTCTTGGCCTTTTTTTTTTTTTAAATAGAATGTGTTTCTTACTGTGTTGTAATATTAGATTTATAACAGAAGCTATATTATATTGGTACTGACTATGAGACTGATGTAATCTCAGGGTGAGGCACTGGTTATGGGATATGATGACATGGGGTGAGTAGTTTATTTGATTTTTTTTTTTAATTTTTGGATAAGCCAGTTTATTTAAATTAAAGTGCTAAGTATAATATATGGAATCTTAACTCTTATTTGCTTGTTCAAAGGTTCGTCAGTTTCATATAATGTTTATATGTGGCATTATATATCTCTAATAGTAATATAGTGCAATGTTTATATTTATTTCTCTTTTTAGTATTTTAAGGTTTCGTTTGTGAAAATTGTCATATTAGGCGACTGTATAGGTTAGGGCTATTCTAGAACATCTTTTACTTGGGGAAGAAGTCTATTTAGCCAAGGCATTTGAATTCATTGTAAGGCCATTGTTCTTTATATCAATAAAATTACTATTGAGAATTCTTCTCGTTCTCCCGGTAGACTCTAAGAGCTTGTGTGTTGGCCTGTATGTGGTTATAGATATTGATCTTTATCTTTAATTCCTCTAACATGATTAGCAGGTTGATTATTTGCTGAAGAAACAAGTAGCTAAACCTCATAGCTAAACCCTAAACAAGTAACTTAATAGTCTTGTAACATTACCTGGATACCATGAAGAATTTGCGCAGCCAAAGTGGCAGGCTCAGTGCATCAGGTTCTGCCTGTTGTCATCCCTTTTCTCTTTCTTTCTCTTAACGTTGCTTGGAAGCATATTCTCTTTACACTCTTAACTTAATCACCAAGTACCTTTAGTGTAGCACAAGATGCTCCCCATGCATATTTATAAAACCAGGAATGGATAGATACGTGCATAGGGATGGAAATGGGTTGGGTCGGGGTGGGTTTTGCTCGCCTTGAACCTGACCCGACTATATCCATAATATCTGATCTGACCTGCTTGACCCAATGATTTTTTTTAAAATTTTTATGTTTGAATCTGATCCAATCTTATATAAAATTGTACCCGACCCTGCCCGACTCGAAATTAATAAAATATTATTTTTAATGTAAATATAAAATTAAATAAATATAAAAAAAATAAAAATAAAATAAATAATTAAAAAATAATATATATATATATATATATATATTGGGTTGGGGTAGTTTTGTCTAAAACCCGATTCTGACTTTGTTATACAATTACTTGACCCTGACTTTATTATACAATTACCCGAGTCGACTTGAAACCTGATTTTTTCAAAAAAGAAAAAAAGGCCCTAAAAGGTCGGGTCGGGTCGGAACCAGGCACAGGTTGGGCTTCCATCCCTATGCATGCACACATAGAATGTCTTATGTCAGATTGTGAGCATTATAGTTGCTGTTTACTGTAACTGCATGGTCTTCATAAGCAGTTGCATCATGCACAAAACAAAAAGTTTTTTATTTGCTTGGATAAAGACAGTGTAAAATATTAACCTATTTTAACAAATAATGTGCGAGTTTGAAAGATTTGAAACTACCATTTTCTTATTTTCTATCCCCATTATCTTTAAAAATTCTCTCCACTTTTTGAAAGATTTGATTTAATTTTAATAGGAAAAAAGTGAAAAAAAATAAAGAAAAAAAGCAATCTAACAGCACGTATGCATGAACTACTTTTTTGGATTTTGCAAAGGAAATCGAATCAACCTGTAAAATGATGTTTAACTGCAAAATATAAGAGATGCATTCCGCTATATACAAGTTGTTTTCCAAGTTCAAAATGTGGTTTTTAAGAGATACAATTAGTGGGTTGTAAAGCATATGGAAAAGTGGTACATATTTTCTTCCTTTTTCTGTTTTGTTGAACACTTCTTTTATGGAGAAATTGTCACTGTAAGAGTAAGACACTGGAAAACAGAATCCTTGTGTTGACCTGTGGCATACATGGGTACAAATTATTTCAAGAATTTTAATAAATTTATCTAAAGAACATGCAACATTTGCAGTTGCTATGCATTTTTGTTCTCTAAAGATTTTTATAACATTATCTTTCATAAAAATTCATATATATGTTTCCTACTTTCAGATGAAAACTGAATCATAGTTTAGCCTTGCAAAGTTGTAAAGATGGTCGTGCTAAGCTGCACCTCTGTTTATGTTTCTGGAAGTTAATCTTTCACAAGCATGTATTATGTCCAAAATGAAAATTATGATTATTTCCTCAGACTGCCTCATCAATTGCAGTCACTCTCTAAGTGTATGCTATTGGGATAGTTTATTTTTTGGCCCATGCAAGTGGTTGAATTATAATTGCGATAGTCTTGTTTCTTTGTTTGTTCTCTTACCTATTCTTCTGTTATTCATTAAGGAATATATTTAATCAGGTATGAACTCTGGAAACCAAATCTTAGATCAATGATGGAGTTCGACATGAAAGAAGTTAGCGTAGGAAACAAGAGTAGAGATGAAGTTTTGGCAACTTGCTTGCAGCAGATGAAAGCTTGTTTCTTAGATGTAAGTTGCTAGTATATATTTATTTGCTCACGGAATTTATTTCTGGGTATATTATGCTAGGAATCATTGTTTCAGTGTGAAATCTGCAAATTAATAAGATTTTTGGTTGCAGAAAGGAGGGGAATTGGGGAAGGGAGTGGGAAGGATAAGAATTGCTTAGACAAATGAAATCTTAACGTGTGACATAAGAAAATTAAACAGGGACAGGTGAAGAAGATACCAAATAAAGAAATCAGAGGGAGAAGGGGAAGAAACAAAGCAATCAGAGGGAGCAATGGAAGAAATTGAGGAAGTGCATAAGCATGGGGATGTCTCAACACTCTAATCTCTATTTTCATAATATCTAAATAATTGAAAGCAATTGAAATTGAAAATAAATATTTATAACACTTTGTAAATAAGTAAGACTAACTGAAGTAAAATAACCTAAATATAGATATAAACTCATGAATTTATAAACTACCATATTGAGTCCTAAATTATATAATTTCTCCATTTGGATTTTCATGATGTATGACGGGCAAAAGAAAAGGGGGGAAATGGGAAAGAAAGAAATTAGATGGTAAGGGAAAGAAATAGAGGAATCTAAGGGAGAAATACAAGAAACAAAGGATCCATAGTAAAATGTCAATAATGCAAAGTTTATGGTTTAGATTCAAACATCCTTTAGTCAAATTAGAATGGGCAAATATAGGATCCCATGATATATGAAAGGTCAAAAGTCATATATCTTTCTTTAGCAGTTAAAATAACTGATATCAGTCTAAAAACGTATTGCTTTTTATAATCATAGTTTAAATTACATATAGGGGTACAATTATCAATATGGATCTAACTAAATATCTTACTCATCTTTTGCTTGAAGTTTTGGGTGCAGGGAGTTAGCTAAAAAGAGTCAAACTTTGGGTATGGATATGTGGATTAATCTCATAAAAATGTTATGAAAAATATATAAATTCAATACCTTATATGAATAGAATTTCTTTGCTATTTTCCCTTTATAAAAAAAAAAAAACCTTTTATCTCTTTAATTGATTCATTTTAATTTTTTTCTGTCAAAACATTAAATTCCTTTTTAATATCCTTAAACACAAATTGAAGTTGGACCGTGTGTAATCAACCAAGTGCCCAAGGTCTAAAAATGCCTTAGACAGAATCCATTTATTTTTGTGGGCCAGGCCAAGATATACTCATTTGTTATACCCAATATGAAGAGTTGAAAATATTTTGGAATGGATTGTAGGCCAGAAGAATTGCAAGCTCAAGTTGAAATACAAAGAAATCCCTATCTGTCATTTTCTTAAATTTTAGGATTGGCTTCTATATAATACTGAGGCATTAGGTGAAGAGGCTCTTTTCATATTTAGGTGCCTAGGACACCCCAAACTTAATCAATGTAGGATTTACTTTAGCACCAACTAACATATTCCTTTTGTTGTCCTTCGAGTTGCAACTGTAAAAGACACTGCTAGATTTGAAATCCTTCCTTCCCTGCCTTCCTTGTCTCTCTGTCTTTCTCACAGTGACAAATCAAGTTGCAATTGAATTTTTCTGTTGCCATTTTCAAGATAGGCACTGTTTGACAGAAACTTGGAAGTCAGTAGGCTTAACAGTGATGGTGCAACTACAATTTTCTTCTGACCATCTAAATTTTTCCTGGGCTCTGGTTTTTAAATTACACTTTTGTGAAGATGATGACGGGTCCAAAATTTCAATTTCTTTTAAGACACGTATAGTGTACCAGTTCTTGTCTTGTGTTGTGTCAACAATGATATGGCACCCTAGAGTGTTGAGTCCATGTAAGAGAAATCTCATTCCTAGATCTTAATGTTGTTTAAAAGCATCAAATTCTAATGAAACTATCATATGAAACAAGAAAATCTTTTGAATCTAATTTACAGGTGCGGAAGTTTCTAATGATGTCAATAGATCAATTTTACTAGTATCTATGATGTACAATGAGTTTGGCATACTAAATAAGTGCGGAGAATATGCAGTTACAGACTTAAAATGGCAAAATTGGCTAGAAAGGTTCCAGGGCACGAAACTAAGTTAAAGCAACCCAAGTAACAGTGGCATGATGAAGTATACTAACAGCAATGATCAATAATAGTTTTAAATAATGGATGTTGCTCAGGAAAAAAAACTAATGAATGATGCAAAAATTTTGTTTTGCACTAAAAAAGTATCTTTTGGCTATATTTAGTCAAATTAGAGCATGAAGCTCAATTTAAGTAGAACCAAAGCTAAGAGTGCAATAGCTATGAATTGAATCAAGCATCAGCTCCTCAACGTCACAAAATTAAGAAGTTATGTTTACAGAAGTCTAAGTAGAATAAAGGACACCTAAGCTCAAGTTAGAAACAAAGGTTGGAGCCAATAAGTCTAAGGAGTTGTAACTATAATTAGCTACTTAGTTAAACTTAGAGATAAAAACAATACTTCAAAATTATCGAACTCATAATCAGCCTTAAAGTAACAAAATGACTTGGATGCTGTATCAGAGCTTCGGGAAGCTACTAGGAAAAATACTTGGTCATGAGGAGTTGAAAGTTTACTATTTGTAAATTTAATTTTACAATCAAGATAATTACAAACTAGGCCTCATAATTATAGTGTCTTACAACTAAGCACATCAAATTTGTATGAAATAGAAGCATCACATATTGAGTTACCAAAATTATTTCAATAATAAAAAAGTAAAGGAAAAATTATTGAAAAGATTTTTTATGTCTCGTGACATTTGAAAGTTCATTATAGTAAAGATCTAAAACAGGAGTAAAGAAAATGGTGGCTTGGCTCCTAAGAACTTGAGAGAGAAAGAGAGACAAAGGGAATTTTGTTTTCTGTAAAAGAAGTTTAAAATGTGAGAAAAGATGGATAGTTGGTGGACCTACCAACTTGGGAGTGATGTTGATCTATGATGGGCATGGGGAAAAAGAGAAGGTGCACTCATGCGCACGTGCACACACACACACGCGCATGCATGCATAGAGTATGCATGGGTTCTAGAAAAACTAGAAAAAAAAAAAAACAGAAAAGGGACATGGATGTTGATATGGCTAGAAATCAGTATCCTACTACTGTATTTAATGGTTGTTAAAGCAGTGATTAAATCGGGATACTTTTCTAAGTTTCATGATCCAATTGATACAAAATGAAGTTTGATAATGGAAGTGGAGTTGACTATTGTAGTTTAGTAGATCTCCTAAATTTACCTTAAAATTTTCTTTTAAGAGATGAATAAAAATGCATGATAGAAATGTAGAATCCCAAGACACTTTTGCACATGCTTATGGGCTGTAAAGGCATTTCTTAAAATTTTAAGTTTGCTTATTGCCAAACTTATATCTACTACAAACAATTTGGTGTCTGTAAAATGGTAGAATATAAATGGGGTAAACTACACTTATATGTGACCTTTCATAAATGTCTTATTTCCATCCATGACCTTTAAAGTGCAACATTTCCGTCATTGACCTCTTTCAAGTAATTCAATTTAATCCATCCATTATTTTAGGTTGAGAAACTTGATGAAAATGTACATTTTAGGGATACATGATGTGGCATGTGGCACATGGCACATGGCAATATGTGGGATTATCTCATCAAATACTACCACCTGAATTGCATTTAATAGTTGATGTCTACATTTCTTTCAATTCTCTAACACCTTAACAATAGATGAACGACATTGATACGTAGAGCAAAACATTACTATTAAAATGTCATGGATGAAAATTAAAATTTTTTTAAAGGTCATGGATCATGGCTGCAATTCACCCAAAAATCTAAGTTACACAAGGCAAAGAGTGGGAGAGAATGTTAGAGGAGAATGGAGAAACATAATTGAGATGGGTGGGGAAAGTAGGTCATTATATATATATTTGCTATCATAGTTTTTGTGAATACCCTTTACACATGTTTTTTTGTGAATATCTGTGGAAACTGAATGTATATTGAAAAACTGCTTATTGAGAATTATACAAGAATCTTAGGTTTATATACAACTAACTAGGGGTTAAACCAGGAAACTAAATCTTTCTAAAAAACTAATCCTATAATTGAGGGATTGTCTATCCTAATTTTAGGGATACAAATACTTAATTCTAGAGATACAAATATAAATATACAGATTACAAGATTATAACCAGCTGTAAATAAGTGTTTTCCCACACTTCCCCTCAAGCTGGTGAATAGGTGTTTTCCATTCCCAGCTTGGAAATAATTTCTTGAAATGTTGCACTACTGAGACTTTTAGTTAACACATTTGCAAGTTGACCATTGGTTGATACATAAGGTGTACAAATCAACCCACTGTCTAGTTTCTCCTTTATGAAATGCTGGTCTACTTCAATGTGTTTTGTTCTGTCATGTTGCACAGGATTGTGTGCAATACTTATTGCATACTTGTTATCACAGTAGAGTCTCATTGGTCCATCCCACTTGATCTTCAAGTCTTCTAAGATAATCTTTAACCATAGTAGTTCACAAATTCCTTGAGCCATTGCTCTAAACTCTGCTTCAGCACTTGATCTTGCCACCACATTTTGTTTTTTACTCCTCCAAGTCACAAGATTACCACCTAAGAAAATGCAGTAGCCTGAGGTGGATCTTCTATCAGTTATTGAACCTGCATAATCAGCATCTGTATATGCTTCTAGAACTAATCCCGAATTTCTTTTGAATAAGATACCTCTCCCACGATTGGCCTTCAAATAGTGCAATATACGGTAGACAGTCTGTAGGTGCACTTCTTTAGGACTATGCATAAATTGACTTACCACACTCACAGCATATGCTATATCAGGTCTAGTATATGAGAGATAAATGAGTCTTCCAACTAATCTTTGGTACATCTCTCTATTTACAGCAGCATCTTCATTAGCTTCTCCAATTTTATGATTAGGATTTATAGGGGTATTTGCAGGTTTACATGCAAGCTTCCCAGTTTCCTTCAGAAGATCCATCACATATTTCTGTTGTGAGATGAAAATACCATGCCGTGAGTGAGCTACTTCAATTCCTAGGAAGTACTTCAATCTCCCTAGCTCCTTTATCTCAAATTCTCTAGCCAAACACTGTTTTAAAGATTCTCTCTTTTTCATCATCTCCAGTTACAATTATATCATCAACATACACTAATAGAACTGTGACTCTCCCTGAATCAGAGTGCTTGATAAACAATGTGTGATCTCCTTGACTCAGTTTATATCCCATTGCTAGCATCACTTTGGCAAATCTCCCGAACCAAGCTCTAGGAGACTGTTTAAGGCCATATAAAGCTTTTTTCAGCCTGCATACTTTGTTTGCTTCTAGATGACCTCCAAATCCTGGTGGAACCTTCATATATATTTCTTCTTCCAAATCATCATGTAGAAAAGCATTCTTTACATCAAATTGTTGAAGCTGCCAATTGTAATTTGCAGCCAATGATAACAAAATCCTAACTGTATTCATCTTGGCAACTGGAGCAAAGGTTTCCTGGTAATCCACTCCATAGGTTTGAGTGTAGCCCTTAGCCACTAATCTGGCTTTATACCTTTCAACAGTACCATCTGCCTTGTATTTTACAGTGAAAACTCATTTACATCCCACTGGATTTTTTCTTTTAGGCAACTCTACCAATTCCCATGTCTGATTTTTCTCTAAGGCCTCAATTTCTATTTTCATGGCTTGCCTCCATTTCTCACTGGATAATGCCTCGGATAATGTAGTTGGAACATAAATAGTGTTTAGGCTCACAAGAAAATTTTTGTGCGTTGGTGAGAATTTTTCAAATGACACAAAATTAGAGATTGGGTATAGTGGATGCTTGGTACATTCTCTGGTTCCTTTCCTAATGGCAATAGGCAGATCATAATCACTAGTTATAGTTTTAGGAGATTCATGCTCATTTTGAGAAACAGAGTCAAAAACTGTAGTTACCTCATTTCCAGAGTTAGGATCAGGTTCTTGGACTGGCATTGGTTCATGATCTGGAACTTTCCTTCTTGAGTACACTTGTAATTCCTTCATATAATCAAGAATAATATTATCCTTTGTCACATCTTCCGTATTTGGAATGGGTTCAGACTTAAATTCAGTGTTTGACTAGGGCTCAGTAGAAACAGGTTTCGACTTAGAAGAATTAATGGGTGTAAATGTTGAAGAAGGGGGCAAATCAAGCAAAAAGAAGTCTTTATCCTTATCTTCCATGAATGAAGTCTCCCCCTGAAGATAAGGTTGAGTAAAAAATGGTTTGTTTTCTTCAAAAGTGACATCTGCAGACAAATAGAATTTTTTGGTAGGAGGATGATAGCACTTATATCTTTTTTGAGTTGAAGAATACCCCACAAAAATACACTTAATCGCTATTGGATCCAACTTTCCCTTGTTATGACTGTGAACATGAACAAATGATGTACAACCAAATATTCTAGGTGTGAGATTGTTTGTGGTATTGAAGTTGGGATAAAATTGTGAGAGTAATTCCATAAGAGTTTTAAATCCCAAAACTTTTGAAGGTAACCTATTTATAATGTGTGGCAGTGAGAACAGCTTCCCCCAATAAGATTTAGGTACATTTGCTTGAAAAAGAAAGGCTCGGGTTGTGGTTAGTAAATGGCTGTTTTTCCTCTCTGTCACTCCATTTTGTTGTGGAGTATTAACATAAGATGACTCATGGATAATCCCCTCTTTTTGGAAATAGGTGGATAGACTCTGATTGAAGTAGTCTCTTGCATTATCAGACCTAAATCTCTTGATTCTCACTCCAAATTGATTTTGGATCATGTTTTGGAAGCTTAAAAACATATTATTTACATCTGATTTGGATTTAAGTAAAAAAACCCAAGAGACCCTGGTACAATCATTTATGAATGAAACAAACCATCTCGCACCAAAAATATTAGGAATTGTAGAGGGACCCCAAATGTCACTATGAATCAAGCAAAAGGGTGTAGAACTTCTTTTGTTACTGATTGGAAAAGACACACGTCTATGCTTTGCAAGTTCGCAAATATCACAATGAAAATCTTCGACATTTAATCCTTTGAACAAAGAAGGAAACATGTTTTTTAAAGTTCCAAAAGAAGGATGTCCAAGACGAAAATGATAAAGCCAGATTTTGTCTTTATTGGAAGATTTTTCAGAAAGAAATGACAAAGGTAAACTATTCTTGATATTACTTGTGTTATTTGATGTCTCAAGATAGTATAGTCCATCCTTCTCCTTAGCTAGTCCAATTATCTTCCTAGAACTCTGGTCATGCAATTCACAATAAGAAGGATAAAAAGTTACTTTGCAATTCATATCTCTAGTAAGTTTTTGTATAGATATCAGATTAGTAGACAATCTAGGAACATGAAGAATATTTTTTAGAACAAACGAGGGATTAACTTGAACATCTCCTAATCTTGCCACTGTAGTAAGTGAACCATCTGCAACAACAGTTTTCTTATTACTAGGACACATGTTATATGTACTAAACTTTTGTGAGGAATGTGTCATATGGTTTGTGGCTCCTGAGTCAATGACCCAAGAATTCGTAATAGGCTTAGCCGAGACATTTAATCCATGAGAACCGGAAGCTTTACCTGAATTAGAAACCTTACCCAAAGAACATACCACAGTAGGCTTTTCAAGGATTTTCAATAAGTTTTTCAATTTTTCAATCTCTTCCCTGTCGAACTCTCCTTGTTTTTGAGACATTTGTAGTACTCCAGTGATTTTCCCAGTTGACATTTCCTCAAATTGGATGGTAGTGATATCTTTCTTTGAAAGGGTTCGGCAATGAAGGCCTAAACAGGATTCGGCAATGAAGGCCTAAAATAGAAGTCGGCAATGAAGGTTGAAAATTTTGCTTCCCAAGAAGAGCCTAAAGCTCTGATACCATGTGGAAACTGAATGTATATTGAAAAACTGCTTATTGAGAATTATACAAGAATTTTAGGTTTATATACAACTAACTAGGGGTTAAACTAGGAAACTAAATCTTCCTAAAAAACTAATCCTATAATTGAAGGATTGTTTATCCTAATTTTAGGGATACAAATACTTAATTCTAGAGATACAAATATAAATATACAGATTACAAGATTACAACCAGCTGTAAATAAGTGTTTTCCCACAATATCCTTTATGAAATTTGGCTGAGCCTATTCCCATTCATGTTTTGGGTTCTTCAGTGAAAATATCAGTTATCATGTGAGTACTCTGGCGGGAATCATATGCCAATAAATTTGACTGATTTTCCACAGAGAAGATAAAGTGTCTGAGGAATTAGTGCTTCCCATCAAATTTTCATTGTTGAAATTTTCAATAGATTTGCTTAATTAATGCTGTATAAACATTTATGATGTTTGGTTGATTTGTCCGTATATGCTTTTGATTGATGTCATGTCTTTGACAAGCTGAGTATGATATGCAGGCAAGATTGAACAAAGTGAAGCTATTAGAAGCTATGGCTGTTTTCTTTGAAAGGTATTCATTAACTCCCTATATTGTAATAAAAAATATTGTACTGTTATGATGTGATGCTAACTACTTATGCAGATCAAATCGAGCTGTTGGGGGTGACAACCATACAGCTGGAGAGGTGGTTAGGCAGTGTGGTCTTTGCCAAGAATCTTCTATGGTGCTGAAGAAAAATCTTGTATGGATGACACTGATTCCATTCCTCTTTTAAGTTATAGAGACTCTGTTTTATAATATCTTGGTGTTTGTTTTTGAATTGGACATTAGTCGCGATTCTGTGCAGTATTCTTCTTTCTTGCTTGTAATTATCTCAAGTCAAGTCATCCATTCTTTCTCTCTTCTGTATCCTAGATGATGTAACTTTTGTTATGCATAATTATGAAGATTTGGTAGTAGATCAGACCCTTGATTGAGCTTTGTGGTAAGTGAGAGCATCAATATTTACTTCATGCAAGATGAAGTTCTCAAGGATCAATGTCTTTTGTCGTGCAAAATGGATTTCTATGTTTTGATTGTTTATTGCCTTTAGTCTGCAGTGCAGATCAGTATGTTTACTGTCAGGTGAATTTTGAAGCGTTTTCAAATCAGTTTTTTTTTTTGTCTTAATAGTGTAGTGACTTGGGTTGTTGTGCAACAAGTAGCAAAGGATGTTGTAAAGGCTAGATTAGGATAGGTTTAGGCTGTCAATTCCATGTCACCTATTGAAATGAAGGAAATAAATAATTAAATCTTTCATAGGATTAGTAGTTGGCCTTAGATGTTGTTGGGATGTGTGGTTATTACCATGAGTACTGGTTTAAAAAGGTTGAAATAATTGATAATTTGAAACATAACAGATGTTTCATAAATTTCACTGGAGAGAAAAGATTCATGTTCTATAGCCAAATATCCAGCGTAGCCATCTTTAAATGTTGACTTTTTTAATTTTAAGCCTAATTTTTCTGGTGCATATGATATCCATTCCCATTAATTTCTTTCATGATTTTGCCTTACTGTGTGTGATATTTACTCAATTCTGATATTATTTTACAGTATTCCTGGCAAGCAGTTGAGTTATTCATTTTCTTATGAACCATTATACTTCTTTTCAACAGGATGGCAATTTCATGGTTGGATGCTTGGGTTTTCCCCAGGTCAGTGCCTGGATTTATTTGTTTGTCTAAAATATGATTTGATTAAAAAGCTAATAAATCTGTCAGTGTAATTTTAAAACATTAACTGAAACTTGTTCCAGATAGATGATTAAGGTGTTGTTCAATATTGTTGCCGAAATTTGCTTTTATTCTTTTTTTTTTTTGGGTTTTCAATGTTTTGAAAACAAAAAACATGTATAGTAACCTAAGTTTGTTGCATAATTTTAAGAGAAAACATAAATATGGTACTTTTGGGTAAGTTGGAAAAGGTATTTCCAGAGTAATGTTAAGTCCAGAAAAGTTATTTTCATCAGAATGGAGAAGGAGACAGCAAAAGATCTCTTTTTTCCCTTTTGTGTTCCTCAACCTCTATGATTGTAGCAGACTAGGTCAGATTTATGAGGCTAATGTGAACTATTGCTCTTTCTCTGGGTTCTATGCAACTTCGTAACACCTCTTCACTGTACATTCATCAGTGTAGGAATGCTATTTGGCTCCCTGGATCTGTACTGGAAGCAACAGTAACCAGCAATATTTGCAGCTCCTGCAATCCGGGTATGTACTTGTGATCTTATTTCTTCAAGTTTAGCTAGCAGCGATTGTCTGTGCAGATTAGATTGTTCAGGATCAGTGAATATTTAGGACAGATTCATTGCAATTCATAATTATAGGGTGAGGGCTTTAAGCTAGATGTGACAATACCAAGTTGTCTTTATAGTTCTGTGACAAAGTTTTGATTCATTGTCATACTAGTAGTTTTAAAAGCATAGCAAATTGCAGGGGACTTCTAACAGATTGCGCCTGTTTTATGTCACTGTTGCATGGTGCTCATTCAGATGTGCCACGTTAGTAAAGTGTGTATTGACATGCATTGTATTCTTCATGCTTCTTAGCGGTATGTTCATCAGCTTTTTTGTTTGAGACATACATTTTAATGATGCACTTTTTTCTTTTCTGATAGGTCCTGTTTACTTGATTCAATTTAAGTTTCGCCAGCTTGAAATACCACCAGGCTTCAATGCCAATCATCTAGGTAAGGGTGTATTTCCCATGACATGTAAGGCTTTTACATCAAACTTGCATGAGTTCTTTTTATTATCTTTAGAATATCTATACAAAATGCAAATGACTAAGTTAAATTGGTCCTCTTTTTTGAACATTTCAAGTGAGTTGAACTTATCCATCTCAACTTCTTTTCTCCTATATGTTCTTAATTATGTAGTGCTATAGTCCCATTATTTTTCTCCATTATCCGGTTCTAATAAGTGTTTCTTGTTATCATCTTTCCATAAATGTTTATTTTAATTTATTGTGTTTTAAAGATTCTCCTTCTGTTTGTTATTTATATATATGTGTGTGCATGCGCACATGCCTTAAATAGTTAAATTTTCCTTTAAAAAAATTCAACACTTGCACACACAAATGTATTCTCCTAAATTCTAGTGTGTGTGTGTGTATTGTTTCTAAATGATTGTCTAATTTTGACTTTTTGTGGTCAAAAGCTTTCATTTTTACCAATGATATTTCGCACATTTATTGACAAATTTTCAAAAATTTGAAAACCTTTTGACTAAAAGTTCCCAATGATTTTTTTTTCTGCAATTTTCAATTAACGATAAATTTAAAATAAAAGGTCAAAGCTGAAATCTTGATCACTCAAAGACAAATGGACTAATATCGTGGGGCAAAGAAAATATTCATTATTAGTATGTGTGCGTCTTTTGAAGCTTTCATATTGTGTTTGTGCAATTTCAAGCAAGTATTATGTGGATTTTGCTCGATTAAAGTTGTCAGTTATCTGTATGCTACTGGCTCAGTTTTCATGAGTTGCTTGTATCTGTGTGTATTTATTTATTTATATAGATGTCATGGGAGGAAGCATGTTAGCTTAGTTGGCTTTTGGCCTTGGTGTTGGCTATGTTTTACTGGTGAAAATATAATAAGATCTTTTTGTAGTTTCAAAATTGAACGCTATTTTATTTAGAGGAAACAATCTTGCTGCTGTACTCAGCTGAAATCAAAATAGTTGTTTATTATTGAGGAGTAAAATGCTGTGAGAATAAAAATCAAAATGAGAGGTTGAACTGTTTTGGTTTCGTGAGGTGAATAATTCTTCCTTTTATTATTGTGTTTTTTTAGTTCAATCTCTTAATTTTTTTTATCTTCCTTTCTGACAAACTTCTTTCTTTTTAATTTTTTTAAAATGGTTTAGGCAATAGCTGCACATCGCACCACTGGGTTTTCTACAACCATTTCATCACTGTTCTAACACAATATTTTTTATCATCAAACAAAGACTGTTTGACTTTATATTTCAGAAAATAATATTTTATTCCACAACTTCTCTTCCCTGCCCACCAAAAAAAGTCTCTCCTTTGCAGCTGCATCACTGTTTAGTTGAGTACAAAATGATTAGATATCAAATGATAAGTTAGAATAATTCATTAAATTTTGTTTAAAAAGTTGTTTTGCTATCTTGGAAGTGATGTTCTTTGTTGTCTCTTACAAGTATTTTAATAAGTTTCATCTAGATTCTCTACTACCAATGCACAGAGAGAGAGTTTAAAACTTACATATTGTGATGGTTGGCTCCATGAACAATTGCCCATTTGGTTATACTAGAACTGTGATCTACTAGTCTTCCTCTTTCCCTAAAATAAATTGAAGTTTAATTCAATAACTTGTGAATTCCATACCTTTAAGCATAAATGAAATTGTTTATGTTTTGGATGATTTCACCGTCTTCTGCTAAATAGAACACTTTTAGGTTCTCAATATGGATTTATTTCTTATTCATTTTTTCTTGTATTGATAATCATCAATATACATGTTTCCATTTTATCTACACCTTGTATGTGCATAGACATGCAAACTGACATGTACCCAACCGATATTCATATTTAATGCTGTTTCTTAGTACCAAGTCAATGCTGAAGAATTTATTGTCTACATGCTTAGGTTGCATTGGTGGCTGTGATGATACTCTTAAACAACTGATTGAAATCTGTGGAACAGGTTCTCGCATGTCAGGTCTGTATACTTGTTTATCTGGAGTAATCCTGAAAATGTTCAAAAAAGAATAATACTTCATTAATGGATCTATTGGTGTTGATGAAAGTAATGAATCATAACACATATTATTGTCATTATCTCTCTATGATCCTTAGGAACTGATTAGCAGTTTAGTTTTAGCCAGTTTAAGATTTTTTAATTAACATTTAATTGATATTCTGCTTAGGTGTTACCATATTTGTGCTGAATCTTTTACTTACATTATATTGCATCTTATCCATGCAATTCATAATGCCCAATTCTCCTTTTGTGCTTTATCAGAACATTGAGTGTCTATGTGTGTATTTTTGAAAACCAAGGGCAGAAAATTAACATGTGTTTATCAAAGACATGAATATCAATTAATATTAAAATTCCCTTTTTTTCTTGAGGAAATCATATCTTGCTCTAATTGAACTTAAAAATTAGGATTTTTGTTTAATATGTCATGCAGCACGGGGTAGAGGACCCACTACAACATCCAGCAATGTCCAGAGAAGTAGCAACAGACAGGGTGCTTGCTTATACTGTCAGCAAATGGGCCATTCTTCAAATGATTGCCCTTCACAGTTTTCAGGTTCCCGAAATTCTCGATCTCGCACAAACTCACAAAATGGTACGCAAGACGGATTGTTATTTTCCTTTCATCAATTTAATATTCATGAGAAGAGTAAGTGTTGTTCCTTGATCGAAGTAATAATAGTTAAATTTATACTTGCAGAAGGCTTGAGTATAATACAACACTCTAGGTTGCACATATTGCATTATTGTTGTTCAATATCATGTTTAATTGGAGGTGGCAATAGTTGACCGATGGCAAACAGCCTTACTTGATCAGTTAGAAATCTGACCTGATCCAAAAGTAAATGACCAGTAACAAGAAGTTATCCAAACTTGAATGACCCATCCTTGAAGCGGCTTGAACTTGAACCACCATATTCAAGGTGACTTTGAACCCCAAAACAATTCAAACCTGAAAGAAGCTGAAACTTGAAATAAATATCTACAACACCCAATCATAAACTTAAGTTATATATCTATAGACACATTTATTTTCTTTAAATCTCATTTAATTGAATTTATTTCAAGAAAAATATAACATAAATTGGAAGATTTGTAGCTGTAGGTGATAAGTTGTTTCTTAGTAGTGGCTACAACATATTCGACTCTAAGGACAGACTTGACCTGTGCACAACTTGATGTAACCTAGAATCCAAAAGAAAAGGAAAAACAGTAGCTAGTGTAATCAAAGACAAAATAATAGTGTTCTTTGAGTATTTTTTTTATTGAAAGTGTGGGAAAACACTTATTTACAGTTAGTTGTAATCTTGTAATCTGTATATTTATATTTGTATCTCTAGAATTAAGTATTTGTATCTCTAGAATTAAGGACAGAAAACTAGGATAGAGAATCCTTCAATTATAAGGTCAGTTTAAGGAAGATTTAGTTTTCTAGTTTACCCACTAGTTAATTGTATATAAACCTAAGGTGCTTACATAATCCTTTATGAGCAATTTTTCAATATACATTCAGTTTTACTTTTAGTTTTCCATATAGTTTTATTTTTTAGTTTTTTCACATGGTATTAGAGCCAGGATTTTCTTTTGTTGCCCTTTCCAAATCTGTCACGGAGTAGGCTTCTGCTATCTCCCCCTACACGTGATGGGGGCTCTGTTAATGTGGGTTATCCCGCATCTAATAAATATCCAATTTTTTGTAGTCTTATATTCAAGTTGGGCCTTTTCACTTGCCAATTGGTTTTAAGTTGGATGTTTAATACTGTGGAAAAACACTTATTTACAACTGGTTGTAATCTTGTAATTTGTGTATTTATATATGTATCTCAAGAATTAAGTATTTGCATCCCTAAAATTAAGGATAGAAAATTAAGATTGAGAATCCCTCAATTATAGGATTAGTTTTAGGAAGATTTAGTTTCGTAGTTTACCCACTAGTTAGTTGTATATAAACTTAAAGTGCTTATATAATTCCTTATGAGCAATTTTTCAATATACATTCAGTTTTACTCTTAGTTTTCCATACAGTTTTATTTCTTAGTTTTTCCACAAAAAAAAATCTCCAAATATATGAAGGAATTGATATGCACAAAAAAGCCCACAAAATCATGACACAAATCATCCAAGAATGGAAACAAATAAGAGACCAAAACTATAAATCCTAACAAACCAAGAAATTGATCCTGATTTGATACATAATCTGTCAACACTCTGTCTCAAGCTTGAGAATAGATATTTATCATTCTCAACTTGTCAACAAGAGCTTCAAAACTTGGTTTATGTAATCCCTTTGTTAGGATATCTACTAGTTGTTGCTTTGTAAGAACATAGGTCATTCACATCACTCCCATATCAATCTTCTATTTCACAAAAAGCTATCAATTTTCACATGTTTGTTCGATCATGATGCGCTGGATTATGAGCAATACTTATAGCAACCTTATTATCAGATAATATAGTTTCATAGGGTATTCAGCTACCATTTTTCAATTCTCCCAAATGTCACTTTAGCTAGATAAGTTCACAAGTTCCTTGTGCAGGAGCTCTAAATTCTACTTTTGCACTACTTTGAGCAACAACAAACTGTTTCTTGCTCCTCCATGTGATAGGATTACCTCAAACCTTCGTATAATACCGAAAGGTGGATTTTCTATCTTCAATTGTTCTTGCCTAGTCTGCATTTGTAAATGCTACCACATTTCTTTGTTCATTCTTCTTAAACAACAAACCCTTACCAGGTGTAGCCTTCAAGTACCTTAAGATTCGAAACACAACATCAAGATGCTTTTCAAATGGAGAGTGTATGTACTGACTTACTACACTAACTGCAAAGGCAATATCATGTCTTGTATGAGACAAGTAGATCAGCTTTCCAACTAATTGTTGATATCTTCCCCTATCTACCAGAATTCCTCCTTTCTTTCCAAGCTTCACATTAGGATCTATATTAGTTGGTTTACAACCAAGCATACTAGTTTCTTTCATGAGATCAATCATATATTTCCTTTGGGAAACATTAATGCTTTTCTTGCTCCTTGCTACTTCCATCCCTAAAAAATATTTTAGTTGTCCAAGATCTTTAAGTTCAAATTCTTTTCTAAGAGTCTTCTTTAGCCTTTCTATTTCTTCAATGTCATTGCCTATCAGTGTAATATCATCAACATAAATGATTAAAATAGTCTTTTTGCCATGTTTTGAGTGTTTGAAAAAAAGAGTATGATCAGTTTGTCCTTCACTAGAACCATGTCTCCTTATTGACTTTGCAAAGCAATCAAACCAGGCCTTTGGTGACTTTTAAACCATAGAGAGATTTCTTTAGTTTACATACTTTTCTGTCATTGTATTCCCCTTCAAACCCAGGAGGCAAATCCATATAAACTTCTTCAACTAGCTCCCCACTAAGAAAGGTATTCGTGACATTCATTTGGTGTAATGGCCAGTCAAGATTAGTAGCTAGTGAAAGTAGTTCCTGTATAGTATTCAATTTAGCAATTGGAGCAAAGGTTTCAGTGTAGTCTACTCCAAAAGTTTGAGTAAACCCCTTTGCAACTTGGTGGGCTTTGGGTCTTGTGGAAAAATTGAGAGTATTTAGAAAAACTTGTCTGTTGAATCATACAAACACCATAGGTTTAAATATAGCTAATTAGAGGGTAAACTAGGAAACTAAATATTCCTAAATTTGATCCCTATAATCAAGGAATTGTCTATCTTGATATTCTATCTTTAATTCTAGAGATACAAATTCTCAATTTTAGGGATACAGATATATATAGATTACAATAAGCTACACAGATTACAACCAATTGTAACTAAATGTTTTCCCACACTCCCCCTCAAGCTGGTGAATAGGTGTTTTCCATTCCCAGCTTGGAAATAATTTCTTGAAATGTTGCACTCTTGAGACCTTTAGTCAACACATCTACAAGTTGACCCTTGGTTGATACATATGGTGTGCAAATCAATCTACTGTCTAGTTTTTTCTTTATGAAGTGCCGGTTTACTTCAATGTATTTTGTTCTGTCATGTTGCACAGGATTATGTGCAATGCTTATTGTAGTCTTGTTATCACAGTAAAGTCTCATTGGTCCATCCCATTTGATCTTCAAGTCTTATAGGATAATTTTTAACCGTAGTAGTTCACAAATTCCTTGTGCCATTGCCCTAAACTCTGCTTCAGCACTTGATCTAGCCACCACATTCTGTTTTTTACTCCTCCAAGTTACAAGATTACCACCTAGAAAAGTGCAGTAGCCTGAGGTAGATCTTTTATCACCGAACCTGCATAATTAGCATTTGTATATGCCTTTAGTACCAACCTTGAATTTCTTTTAAACAAGATACCTCTCCTAGGATTAGCCTTCAAATAGTGTAGTACCTGGTAAACAGCCTATAGGTGCACTTCTTTAGGACTATGCATAAATTGACTTATCAGACTCACAGCATATGCTATGTCCGGTCTAGTATGTGAAAGATAAATAAGTCTTCCAACTAATCTTTGGTACATCTCCCTATCCACAGCAGCATTTTCATTAGCTTCTCCAAGCTTATGATTAGGATCTATAGGGGTACTTGCAGGTTAACATGCGAGCTTCCTAGTTTCCTTCAAAAGATCCATCACATATTTCTGTTGTGAGATAAAAATACCATGCCGTGAGCGAGCTACTTCAATTCCTAGGAAATATTTCAATCTCCATAGCTCTTTTATATCAAATTCTCTAGCCAAACACTGGTTTAGAGATTCTCTCTCTTTTTCATCATTGCCAGTTACAATTATATCATCAACATATGCTAACTGAATTGTGACTTTGAATTTGAGTGCTTGATAAACAATGTGTGTTCTCCTTGACTCTGTTTATATCCCATTCCTAGCATCACTTTGGCAAATCTCCTGAACCAAGCCCTAGGAGACTGTTTAAGGCCATATAAAGCCTTTTTAAGCTTGCATACTTTTTTTGCTTCTAGATGACCTCCAAATCCTGGTGGAACTTTCATATATATTTCTTCTTCCAAATCACCTTGTAAAAAGGCATTCTTTACATCAAATTGTTGAAGCTGCCAATTGTAATTTGCAGCCAAGGATAACAAAATCCTAACTGTATTCATCTTGGCAACTGGAGTAAAAGTTTCCTGATAATCCACTTCATAAGTTTGAGTGTAGCCCTTAGCCACCAGCCTGGCCTTGTACCTTTCAACAGTACCATTCGCCTTGTATTTTACAATGAAAATTCATTTACACCCAACTGGATGTTTTCCTGCAGGGAACTCTACCAGTTCCCATGTTTTATTTTTCTCTAAGGCCTTTATTTCTATTTTCATGGCTTGCCTCCATTTCTCATTGGATAATGCCTCAGATAATGTAGTTGGAATAGAAATAGTGTTTAGGCTCATAAGAAATTTTTTATGGGATGGTGAGAATTTTTTAAATGACACAAAATTATAGATTGGGTATAATGGATGTTTAGTACATTCTCTGGTTCCTTTCCTAATGGCAATAGGCAGATCATAATCACTAATTTTAGGAGATTCATACTCATTTTGAGAAATAGAATCAAAGACTGTAATTACCTCATTTCCAGAGTTAGGATCAGGTTCTTAGAT